TATTTTACCTGCTACAGAGACAATTTTAACCTGTTTCCAGTAAGCCTAAAATTACATGTTTTGCTGATAAAATCTAATACAGGATTACAAATAGCACTCACTCTAAAGGTCTCGATTAGACATTGTTACTCTTCTAAAGAACCTAAAACTTAGTTGTATTCACTGACATTCCATACTTAAGATGTAATTAGTCCCTCATATTGTTGGCAGTTCACTGTAAATAGTTCTTCAACTGACAACTTTTTGGTCTAATGTTATGATTAATATATAACAAAGTACTTTCTTTAAACAAGAGGTAAATAATCAAGACATAAAATGAACCAGAACGGAGCATGTTGCTTAACTGATATATGAATTTTTAACACTTTCTATAGTTTTTTTTTTCTTAATGGTTAAACTATGTATTTTAGTATGAACAACAGGATTGTCATTTCCTGTTCAGTCTTATAAAGAACTCAACAGTTGCAGGTTAAGTTCTGGGACGGTAAGTTCTCACACAATGTCATTACCAAAGTAGAGTGATGGCCAGCTCTGCCAGGGCCCTCAAGTTGTTAAAAATCTCCTAATACATAAAAAACATATTTAATCTGTAAAGCAATAATTTTAGTAAGGCAACCATCACTGAGTTGTTTCTATAAGGGGACATAAAAAAAAGAGAGAGAAAAACTTGGGTCTAAAATCAAGTATCCTGGAACTCAATCTTCCTGGACTGGGTCAGTGTTAAGACACTGATCCAAAAGAGAGAGAAAGAAGAAAACATTATTTCACTTCTTTTTTTTTTTTTTTTTTACAAATATTATCTCCTCTAACTTCTCTTTTTTGTCTTTTCCCCCAGAACTTGTGTGAACAAACACACACACACACACACACACACACACTCTCCTGTCTTTTCTTTCACCTTTAAATTCTGTCACACAATTATGCTTTCGGGACCAACATATTTTCTTGAGACCCTAAGTACCTCATTAACATTTCTGAAAGAATAGCAGTCATTAAGAAAAGAACTGAAATTAGATAAGATTTTTTAAATCTAAAATTTTTGGCAATTTGAAAAAATAATTGTGAAACTTATAACAGGTTAGAATTTAATTCCACTATCATTAAATATGTCACACTCCATATTTAAAGATTCCTAAAATAGTCTAATTAAACTTATAACAAATTAGTTTTGTTTTCAAATATCTTTAGGATAAAAGAGCCAAGGTTTTATAAAAATGTTAAAGTTTAAATTATTTTATATAACTTATATTTTTGTTGATTTTCATTTAAAGTTATTCTAGAAGTATAGTGTTTAAGCAAAAGTAAAGGTTCCTGCCTGGCTGGTGTGGCTCAGTGGTTGAGCAATGACCCATGCACCAAGAGGTCGTGGGTTTGGTTCCCCATAAGGGCATATGCCCAGGTTGTGGGCCCAATCCCAATGGGGGGCATGCAGGAGGCGGCCAATCGATGTTCTCTCTCATTGATGTTTCTATCTGTCTCTCCCTCTCCCTTCCTCTCTCTCTAAAATCAATAAAGAAAAAAAAAGTAAAAGTTCCCAATAACCCCACTATGCCAAGAGATAACCAACAATAACTGGTTTCTACTTCTCCAACTCTTCCTATACCTCTCTCTCTTTCTTTTTCTTCCCTTCTTTGAAATATATCTTCTGTCTCTTCATAATAGTATCTAAATTCTTTCATTTACATAGATAAGAAACAAGCTTAATAGGTGAGCTATCGAGAGATAACCAATAAGCAGCAAACTACAAGAATATTTAGTGGTCTGATCATCTTTGTCAGTGTGGCCAAGCTGTTTCCAACTCCATTATCTATAGAAAACTTTTGGAAAATATATTTAAAAGAAGTAAAGACAGTAATCTAAATTTTAAATAAGATATCACAAATTCAAACTAAGATAATAGAGGTTTTAGTATCAGAGCAGTTCCTTTAAATGATATTTAGTATTTCAAGCATTGAAAACTGATCCAGCTTTCCCTGGTGCTGGCCTTGGGAAGTGAGTGTCCCTCAGCATTCTTTAAGTCAGTAGGCCCTTGAAATGAAGCACAATAACAAGGTTTTAATGAGTAAAATAACCATTCCCCTTCAAAAAGTAAAAAACAACATCTGTTTTAAAAAAGCTAGTAAATACACCAGGCCAGCATGGTTCAGTGGTTAGAGTGTCAGCCTGCGCAAGGTTTCAGGTTTGATTCCCATTTAAGGGCATGTACCTGGTTTGCAGGTTCAATCCCTGATCAGGGTACATATGAGACAGACAGTTCAATCAATCAATCGATCTCTCTTTCTCTCTCTCTCTCTCATTCTCTCTCTCTCTCTCTTCCCTCTTTCCCTTCCTGCCTTCCACTCTCTCTGAAAAAAAAAAGAAAAAAAAATCAATGGAAAAAATATCCTCCGGTGAGAATTAACAAAAAAAAAAAAAAAAAGCAAATAAACCTCAGGAATGGATTCAGCAATAGGCCTGGAGGATTTCAGAGATACAGTCCTTCCTTATCAAAATAAAAATAACAACAGAACAATTGTTTCAGTCTTACACTACATGTTCTCAACTATTCTACACTCTCTCCAGATTAACTGGCATGGAGTCCCACCAAACTCATTAAAAGAAACTTCTGGACTCCTACAGCAAGGTAGATGTTCGCTGTCCTCCCAAACTAGAGGGCTCTTCCCCACAAGGACAAGGAGAACTTGGCAGAACTACAGACTCCTGGGCTTCCTTTACTGATTGTATTTCTCGGATTTATTTTTAAATTGCATTTCAAAAATCAGACTCCAAGGATCTTTGCATATTTTTTTTTAAACTAAGAAATTAGTCCTTATTTATTCTCTTTAGGATAGTATCACCCCTATCCTGTTACATTTTAGAGCCACTGAACATCATCCGCCCCTGGAATCTGTGCCCACTCAGATGGGTTATTAGATAACTTTGATTAGCATGTCAAGCTAATCATGTGGACACTCAGGCATTTTAAGTTATGTTCCAAGGAGGTGGAAAGACAAAATTCTTTCTTTTCTGGAACAGGCTTCCTCCACCCATCCAACCTCCTTAAATCTCTTGGGCCTGCCAAGGTCCTGACCTTCCAGTCACCACAGCAGAGGGTAAAGTTTGGCGGGAGAAAGACCCATAGGATTAAGGCCTCTGTTCAACAAATATTTGCTCACCCACTCCAACAGGAGTGGAGTGAAACTGTTTGCTACATGCTGCCTGCCCGGAGTTACAAGATGGCTAAGAGCTAGACATCTCATATCAAGATAAAATAGAAAGTCGAAACCCACAGAACATCATGGAAAACCAATGAATTTACTGAACTCCCGATTTCATATGAAAACCAACAAAAGTCCCATGAAATAGAATCTGAGTGTGATCTGCCAAAAAACAAACAAACAACCTTTACTTACGTTTGTGTTATTGGATGGTCTTAATCTGGGCATCCTAAATTTAAAAACGACCTGGCATAAGGCACCGTTTTCCTACAGTTTTATTTGCACAGGCTGTGACCATTGACTTTAGACGCCTGAGTCTGCCCTTTCTGTGAAGAAAATTTCTGGCTGCCAAAATCCCATTTCCCACTCCCCTTCCCTCCCAAGAATCTCCTCCCATCCTCCAACCCTCAACTCAAATCACAGGGATATCTGCAAATCTGAAAAAAAAAAAAAAAAGCCAGAAAAAGTAAGACATGAAGCTGTGGGGAAGACATCTGAGTTGTATGGTCCACACTCTTCACCTTCCACCCCAAGATTAAAGGAGGGGAATTCGGACATTGGGGTAAGTTTAGGGGAGGGACGCACGGGGTGGGAGAGTGGGTGGGGGGGTGTGTATGGTGGGGAAGGATGATGGTGATCTAAGCTAATTCTTCAAAGTCCTCTTCTTGGATGAGCAAGACTAGAGGCATGTCCAGGTTGCGTTGGCATCAAGTTCCCGTTTTTATTTTTTTCTTCAGTAGTGAAATCACAGCTTCATTTTCAAATCCCCAGAAGAATCCGAGGCGCCTGGCTGCTATTGCCAGTGACAAGGAGCAAGAGCGGCGCGTTCAGCTGTAGGTGCCGAGCCTCGCTGCAGTCCAGGCATCTAGGGAAACCCTCGCATTTTGGGGTGACCTGAGAGCGATCCGGGGCGGGGAGCTGAGGTGCCACGGAGCCCGAGAGCGGGGAGCGGGTGACCCCGCAGGGCCGGCAGCTCCAGATCCCATAAACCGGCGGACTGACGAGATTTACAGCACTCTCAGGCGGTGCTCTTTCCTTTCTTCCCCCTCCCCCCTTTTATTCCTTTTCTTTTTTGCTTGACCACCAGCAGCTGGGGCCGGGCCACCCGGGCACTTGATGGGAGCAGCGACGATTAGCGCCCTAATCCCCAGTCCTGATCTGAGGACCGGGGTCGCCAGGCCGGCGGGGACCCGAGCGGGAGCAGGGGACGCGGCGCCCGCTCCCAACGTCCCGCGAGCAGGTTCGGCAGCAGTGGGTATCGTGGGAACCGGGACCTCGGGACTCGGGGCAGCGGCTGTCAGTTCCCGGGTCCAGACGTCCGCGGAGTCGCGGCGCGCGGGAGGGGTGGGGGTGGGGGTGACCGGACTAGGGCTGCGGCGGAGACGGCGCTGAAGAGGGGAACAGCGACCCCCGCCCTCCCGGCCCTCCCCCCGCCCTCCCGGCCCTCCCCGGCCCTGGCGTTAGGGCGACGCGAACCCTAACGCCAGGCGCGGCCTTCGGGGACACCGGGAACCCCGCGCCCCGCGCCCCGCGCCCGGGGTGGGCATCTGAGGGGCCGCGACTCGCCCTCCTGGCGAAGCGGGCGCCCCCTCCCACCTCGAGACTGCGAGGCTGGGCGCCACCGGGGAACTCGGGGCGGGATGCAGATGTCCCCCAAGGCTGGGAGCGGCTCGGACCCGAGCAACGTCCGGCAGGAGAAGTTGAGGGACGAGCGCGGGAGGGTGGGGGCGAGGCCCGTGAAGCACCGTGGGAGCGGACCAAAGCACGGTGGGAGTCGGGAGTGGGGAGATCGCCGGGACTTACCGAGTGGCTCCCTCATGCTGTCCCGCGCCGCCGCCGCCGCTCCCACCGGCAGGGGGAACAGCGCGACCAGCCCGCTGGCAGACGCCGCGGCCCAGCACGCCGGGAGCCCCGCGCTGCCCGCCCCGCCCCGCCCCGCCCACCGCCGGCCCCGCCCCGCCCGGCCCATGGCCCCGCCCATGGCCCCGCCCGGCCGGCTGCCTCCAGAATCTGGTTCCCTAGGTGGGAAGGCTGCGTGTAGGCATGGAACCCAGCGTGGGCCTCATGTCCTCTCCCAGGTGAGTCGTGCTGAAGGCATAGGTGCGCTGGCCACCCTTCCCTGTCTTTTCCTGACACTTGGGTTTGGGCGGCTTCGATCCTGTGCCAATGTACACATGCACAGACACAGATATACACAAAACACAAAAATACTCATGTACAGTCACACATAAGTGCATACACTCATACAGAGTCATACACAAACACATATACGCACTCACACATACACAAAGACATGAAACAGACACACGAACACTTCTGTGTACAGTACACAGAAACACATTGAAGGCATGAAGAGCAGAAAACAGTGATGGTGACAACAGCTAAGAGCTTGGGATTTCCTTCTTTAAAAAAAGACATGTACGAGTCTTAGCTGTAGGCTGGAAGAGATCTCAGAGGTCAGTTGTGACAGATGAGTAAACTGAAGTCAGGAGTAGGATTTACCTAAAACCAAGAGTAGGAGGAGGTCAGTGGGGAGTTCAGACAAGAATGAGTATTTAGTCTCCCAGCTACTCCAAGTTTCTCTTGCAGCTGAGATTAGACTGCTACCAGGTATATTAAAGGGGCAAAAGTATTTTGGGGGGCATAAAAAAGACATAAAATGTGCAACTTTATTGACGGATTGGGAAGGAGAGGATGTTGGCTAAGTAAAGTCCATAGAGGCAAAATAGATGGCAAAAGCAGACTGGAGTCCTTACAGAATGAACTTTTAGAAAACATTTAACCACACCATGGGTTTAGGGCTGTGCTTGCTGCCATAACACAAACAGTATCTAAAGTTGTTTTCACTGTCACCCAGTCTGAACCCTTCATATGTGTTATTTTCTTTTAATCCCCACCACAGCCCTTTGGGGTGGGTGCCACTGGAAAATAGAGCTCAGGGGGGCACATAGTTAGCATGTTGCAGAATCTGGCCCAGGACCCTTGTTCTGAACCCTAACCATGAGGAATGTAAGAGGGCAGTCTAAGAAGGCAAAAAAGCCAAACACACTAGAGCTGGAGGGAAAAAACTATAATCAGATGCCGTGCTGTGAATTATCTATAGTGTATCTAAGGACCCCAGGCAGGAAGATGGGAGTGGACAGCACGGTTAGGTGCTCACAAGGCAGACTACTTGGGTCCTAGTTTGGGGGTGCTTCTGCCACTTTCTAGATGTGTTGCTTTACTTTTGTCAGCCTCAGTTTCCTCTGGAACAAAATGGGGATAATGACAATGCTAACCTCCTAGGAAAGCCATGAGAATTAAATGAGATAATGCCTTTTAAGCATAGTACTGGCACATTGTAAGAATGAAGGCAATGTTAGCTGCTGCCACTAATACTTGTGCTAATCATGCTCTGTAGGCTGGAGCCACCAGGGAAGGTGGGAGGCACCTTAAAGGGTTGTGACTAGGCAGAGATAAAGAGTATCACCTCCAGGCTGGAGGATTAGGATGAGAAGGGGGAAAAAAAAAAGCTGCTGTTTTTCCAGGAAATTGCAGTTATTAATAGTAGTGACATTACCTCTTGTCATAAAAGCATCTTTCGGGGATAGATTGTTTCAATGACATATAATTCCCGTTTGTCCTCAATTTGTCAACTCAGTGAAATAACGTTTGTGGAGCACCTGTATGTTCCCAGCACCACGCAGACATATATGGAGCCAAATGTTTCCACAAGATCATTAATCAGCCAGAAAATTGAGATTAGGCTGTGTTTTCCTCATAGAACAATGTTATATTGTTTGCTTTCTGGGTCACCCTCATAGAAGTTTTATAATGTAACTGAAATGTTGCATAGTTGCTGTAGAAAACAGCATTGAAGCAATGCTAGGAATGAAGCTAAAACAACCCAAATAAAGCTTAATAAGAAGCTGTGTTTTAGAAGAATGGCTGGTAAGGAAGGTAAGGAGATTGAAATACCAGACTCTGAAAAAGACAACTTCACAATTTTGAAGATTTATGTGGTTTCTTGACACTGGCTCTTTATCATGATGACCTCATTTCAAAATGTTTGGCTTCTCTCTTTCTTCAGTACTGATATATCACTAGCCCTGCTCTGATGCTTTCCAGCCATGATGATGGCCATTTCAAGTGAACAAACAGAATTTTAAAAATGAGGATAGAAGGATGTGGTGGTGCTGTGGAGCAAGGAAAAACGTGGGAGATTTTCTGAAGATTTGGGAGTAGAATTAAGAAGAAGGGGAACAAGATTGAAAAGATATGTGAGAAAGAGTGGGTGATTGTCTGAATGATAATGTAAGAAGACAGAGGCGAAGGGGATGTGGTGCTTCCCCAAATGAAGATAAAAGTTGGGGAGGAAATCCACAGGGCCATTTTCCCACACAAATTACCAGTACATAGACATCAGATGGTGGACATGAGATATGAGAAACCGGCCATAAAGTGTGTGTGTGTGTGTGTGTGTGTGTGTGTGTGTGTGGTCTTCTGTCTTTTATGTATACACACATATACAAATATGCATATGCATTTTCTTGTTATGTTTTCAGATAAAAGGACATTCCTTCCCAAGTCAGGTGTTTGTAACACAGGAAGCACATGCGTAACTTTTATCTCGACTGTTAGAAGAATCACATTTCTTCTCCTAATCACTACCCACTCCCACTTTCATGCAACTTCAGTCCCTTTCTCCCACCTACTTAATTTTGGGAAATTTAAACACAGAAAACATATCTACAGCCTATGTGATATAAAATACAAAATATGATTTAAAACAACTTTTTGCGCGATGCTGTTAGAAATCCAGTGTTGCTGGGAGCCTGTGCTGGCACCCAGCCGAAGTGCCCAAATGTCCCGCCTCTCTCTGAGTCGTGGAGAAGGGAGTTCACAGACTCAGGAAGGAACTTGTACTACAGAGTCATCGGACTGACGTGCAGTGACCAGAGAAAGAATGCTTAACGGACTTCTTAAAAAAAAAACAATAACAACAACAACAAAAAAAAAACCTTGTTTCTTTAACTTGCTGTCTTTTCAAGGACCTTAGAGTGACCCTCCTCCCTCTTGCTGTAGGGCCCTTCCTTGATGACCTACTAGCAGGTTTCCTTTAGCTGACTTGAATAGTCTTTGATGTTTTTCTTAGCCTGAAAAACACTACCAGTTCTAATTTTTTAAAGATTGTTTTTGATAAAACCTTGAAGTCTCTCTGGTTAGCTTGTTCTAGGAAGTCAAACAATAAGGATTATAGAAAAACCATAAAGAGTTTTATGTCAACAGTTGCTAATAAAACTTATTTTTTAGATACTGACATGCTGTATATTAATTCAGAGGTGATACTGCATAATTATTTTTAACCATGAAATCTGTTTATCAAAGTGTGCTCCATGGACCACCTACTTCAGGACCAATTGGGGGAGTCCTAGGCCTCATCAACAATGAACACAAGCAGAATTTAATTTCTAATTTCTATAGTTGAGACCCTGAACTCTGGTCTTAAAAGTACATGCCCAGATGAGAAGCAGGGATACCGTTCAAGAAACAGAAGTATTACGTCAAGAGCCTAACAGAATAATTGGTATGCAATAAATATTAAAAATAAACAAACAAACAAACAAACAAAAACTAGCAGCCATGGACATCACTGTGTGGTGATGAAGAACAGTATAGCAATGTCCCTTGGGAAGACGCACATGAGGTGTTTGTGAACTGTTGCTGAGAAAATCTGACACTTCCCAAACAGAACACTTTACACCGCTGGGGGTTAAGAAAAGAATAACAAACATTTTTCAGTTATATACCTTCACTCTAAGGAGAGTGAATCTGTAATTATTTGCTATCTCTTTGTCAGCTTTTTCCTCTGTAAGTCTACACATTAATGGAAAGCAGCCTCTCTCCTAAGTCCTGTCACCACTCACCCGAGCAAAGGGTTGCTGTTTACTAGTGGTTGACAGAACGTTGCAAACATACCCCTGCCTGCAATCTACAGATCTTTGCCAAATTCTTAAGGAAAACCCTGATTCCTGTCCTCCAGGGAATGACCAAGGCTGGCTGGAATCCCACTGGTACAAAGATGATGCATGCAAATGTGGCTCCCAGAAGACAGTGGTGTGGCCAGACTCGGCACCCAGGTCTGTGCCATCACACACCAGCTAATCAATAATCAACCAAAATTAACGAGCATTTTCTTTAACCCTATGTGACTTTTTATTTTAAAAGTGGGAAATATGTGGACAACTATAAAACAAGTTAGTTACCAATATTAATTGAAAAAAAAAAAGCTTTCTTTTTGGGACAAAATGGCCTATCAGAGTGTTATTACATTCACTGATAATACAAAATATAGCAACACAAAAATGACCCCAGGTTGGGAGGAAGAGGGGAGAGTTACCTTTCATTTCATTGAACAGTTCTTGTGTGTCAGGCACTTGGCTAGGCCTTGATTTGTGTTCTTCCGTGTATATAGGGTAGCATTTATTACCAGCATGGCGTGATTTTGAAGTAGTGATTCTAGATGAGTATTAAAGAGAATGTAAATCTTCCATATGAGAAATTTACTTTCATAAAAGCATTTTGTTTAAGCTGCTAACATAGCATTGATCATGGTATACCTTAGGTCTGCTTTACTGGCATACATATTTCTTTCAGATAACAGATGAGTTCCTGGTGGAAGGAGCTGTTCCTCCCCGCCCTAACCTTTTTTTGTTAGGTTCTGTATTCGTCTACTTGGCATCCTTTAATTACAGGGCCAAACTAAAGGCCACTGTCGCTTACAGCTCCCCTGCAATCTAGAGCCATGCTTTGAACCACCTCCTCATCTAACCCTTACACACGAGGCCAATATTTTTCCTGCCTAATTTG